CTTATATATCAATTTATATATGATCATCTTTTTCTCATATTTTATTAATCGTTACTTGATATAGAACTTTCATCTTCAAGAGCGTTTAAAGTGAAGCAAGGTAATATAAGTCATTTAAAAAATATATATTGACTGAAATAATAATTATTTACTCTGCATTTATATAATATATATAATAGAAGAACTCTTTATTGTTGACAAATGACTCGATTTGACCGATTTAAAATAGCTAACTCTAGTCAATATTTTTCTGGCTAAAATATTAAGAAAATATTAAGATAGTCGCTTTTAAAAATCGGCTTAATTAGAGCCTTTAACAACAATAACGAGCATGCTCGAGTGCCAGAGCAATCCGAACTAAAAATAATTAGGTTTACGTAAAATATTATCCTCGATTGGACTTTTTGATAAAATTTTTTCCTTAACCAAATTGAGAAATTTTTTATTATTTTGTCTCACAAAATACTTAAAAACCCCTCCAAAAACTTATATTTTATAAGTAATCAAAAAGACCAAGTTTTCAGGTAACTATATTTTCTGACTGTAAATTAAGTGCAGCTATTTTATTTTGTAATAAGTTTATTTTAATTAAATTATAATCAACAAAATATAGCTAATAAAAATTTCAATTTTTTATTATGATAAATTTTTAAATAAAGCATATTTATTTTGATGATATATAACTTAAGTCTCGTAAAAATTAAGTTCGAAAGAAATGATTTCTTAGACACATTAATATATTTCAAAATAAAGAAAACTTTAAATAATTTATTGATTTCTTAATTTTTTTTTATACAAGATCATCTGAAAAGAGAAGAAAATGCACCCATAGGATTTGAATCGCATAATAAATCTGAATAATTAAATATGTGTATTTTTTATAATAATGATAAATTTAGATCATGGAAATATTTTATAATCTTAAACCAATATGTTGGTATATTTATTGACCAAAAACATTTGTGATTATTTTATTTTATAATATCAATTTAATGTTTGGGCTTATATTTTGCTATGATTATACCGCTTAAAGTGATTTGAATAAAATTTTTACGAATTCTAAAAATATTATTATTTAAAATGTTAACTTTAAATAATCAATTGTGTGATTCAAGCATCAGATACACTTTGTAAAAATTTATATTTGGATGAATAGATCTTCTTGACTTTTAATTTTTAAACTCCTTTCCTGAGAACAGCAAAGAAAGATTATATTTATTTTATTCAATTAATGATTTCCCTTTATAGCAAATAAAGCTTGGAAAAATCCTATAGGAATATAAGAATAGCAATTTTGCCATATTTACTTCCATATTTTGTTTAATTTTATATAAAAGGGAAAATATATTGAATATTTAAAATATTTAATTTATCAATTTAAATTATGGGTAAAGATTAATTAATAAGACTTATGACCATTTTAAAATATAGCTATAAAGTCAATAATTATTAATTACATTTTTCAATCTAAGTGCAATTTTAATAAAGGTTCAATTTTTTTTTTATATATAACTAAAATTCAAACAATATGTCTGATTAAATCTGAGGAGTAGAGATTAATTATAAGCCAATTATAAATCGTCATGATAAATGTGGTGTATAAAAGCAGCCAGTTTTTGCTCTAAAAATAATTAAATTAGGGTTGATCTTAAAGTCACGGTTAGTGTAGGTAATTATAAGAATGGCAACAAGTGGTAGCTCTTAGTCAACTCCTAAATATACTTAGCAATTTATCATATTGCTAGAGGTTTGTATAAAAAGTGCTAACATTTATGACGAAGGAGAGAGGAATATATTGTATCGAGTACGGCAATTAAATTACACATAAATAAATAATTAACCATCCATTTTGTAGTTTTTATCAAAATGATCAGATTATATAAATGTAGCAGCATCTATTATTGAAAGCTAATTTAATGATCATGTGGTTATCGCATTTTTAAAATGGAAACATATTGAAACTTATTTAATATTCTTGTATGGATATACCACATTGATTTGAATAAAATAATCTTTAATCTATGTTCATACATCATCAGTGAAAATCACTTCGTCTATAGCTTTTTTGGATATTTGATTTTCTCTATTCCTTCGAGATAAAAAAAAGGGATTATAATTAATCTAATTTAATAAATAACTCTACATTTATAATAACAAATAAAGTAATAAAAATAATTCCCCTACCTGTGAGCTGACGTGGCTGTAGATATGAGATTAGATAACATTGCATAATAGTTCAAAGGAGACTGTATTTATTAGATTGTGTTCTAGGTGGACTGAAGTTTAATATTTAACTTCTTTTTAGAATAGACTAAAAAGTCTTTAATTTTAAAAAACTTCTGGTTTGCATGTTTTGTTTTTTTTAAAAAAGATATTTTTTCTTGCTTTTTATGATTATTTTAAATATTTTTATATTGATGTTTCTTATTTTTCTTTAGTTATTGCTTTAAATACATGTGCCTGCAAATATCCACCTATCATTTGCTCCCTCTAGGCAAAGATAAGGAAGAATTAATAATAATTGTAGCGAATAGCTCAGAGATCAGTATTAGTATTATCAGGAAATATCTTTATTAAATCAAACAACGGTAAAATTCTAATATTATAATTTTAAAGCACCCACAAAAACGACTGTAAAAAAAATATCATTTAGTTGTGTTTTTTTATATTTTAACAAAGAATAGTCAAATATATAAATTTTTCATTATATTAACTTATAACTGCAAACAATGCCCACATAGATAAATTATATAAAATAAATAAAAGACCATTAATACATAAAGACAGTTCTCCCCTACTACATTTTTAAAAGGAGCTAGCTCCCGCTCCAAGTAATGAAGTGGCACTCTATAACCGCTCCTTTGATTTTCATTTTTTTAGAAGCTATACGACAAAATCTTATTTTTTTATCAAAAAGCTTTATTTATATTAAGTGACTAACAAAATATTTATAACCTTTTAGCAGCTTTTAAAAGTTATAAATTTTCTAAATTAAAATCTAACAAACATCCATGCCTCTCCCCTAAGACCTCTTTTGCAATACTAAATAGGCGCTCTACAGGAGCATTAGAGGGAAGCGGGGTATTATATTTTATAAAGATATTTTTTAATTTCAGGGAATTTATCAAAAATAGTAATTTTGGTATTTATTTAAGAAATATTTGTCCAATATATTATCTTCCTGATAATCAATTTCATGGAATTCAAAATAATCTTCCAAATCATTTTGTATTTAAAAGAAAGATTTTTTTACTTCTGGATTCTTTTTTAGATAAAAGCTTCTCACTTTTGTAATAGTTTTATTTAAACCTAAAAGGAATTTTGCCATTAAATTTGTTTGATCATTTGGTTCAACATCTTTTAGAAGTTTAAAATATATTTTGTATGGAAATGGAAATTCGATTTCTTCATCTATAATCTCTAAATCCATAATATCTAAAATTATTTTTTGTTATATATCTATAAAATGAATATAAATATGACTTACAAGATTTTCCAAAAAATTTCAATATAAAAAGGAAAAAACAGATGTTTTATTAGATGAAAAACCCGTTTGTTATATTAAGAATTGAAAGAAGTTATTAATAAAAAATGGAATGGCATCATATTAAAAGCGAGATTATAGAATAAATATCTGTTTTGAAACTAATATGTAGTATCAGTTTTATTGTTAAGAATAGCATATAAATTTTATAATGCGTATTATGTAAGTGAAATATTATGCACATAGCATATATTATAATAAATATAATATTGTAATTTATTAAAAACAGTAAAGTATTCACATATTTTTTAAATTAAATTTTACTTATAAAATTGTCAATATATTTTATAAATTCTAAAATTTGAGAAAAAAATTTGATCGGACTATTTCAAATTAGTTAGGCATGCTCAAAAATGTTTGACATAAAGATTGATATAAGCATATTTGATAAATGTTTATTAATGAACCGGTAACAGTAATATTTTTGTGCAGACCCTTAAAATCTTTATTCACTCAACCCATACTTTTGGATTAATGCTTAAGTTTATCTATGTTAAAATAATAATAATATTATATTAATATAATTTTTTAAATTACAATTATTTTGTACTTCTTTGTTATTATCATAAGATTGTTTACCTATGTTTTCTTGTATTATTACATAGTACATTAGCAATTTTACAAGGTTATGATAAATGTTTTGAAACAAAAACAAGTTATAGTAAGTTTTATAATATGAATATGAACTTAATTATTATTTTATAGCATAAATTATACGAACGTACCATTTTTAAGCAACGCTAAAGAAAGGATAGAATAAAATGAATCTAAGATGTTAATTGAAAAGTCAACTCCAATACCAGTTTTTAGATTGAGTTGGGTATACTAATAAAAGCTTCAATTGTTCCTTAAAACTATAAACATAAAAAATAAAACTAAGTTATAAATTAAAAATTTTATAATTCATTCCTAAGTTACTATTCCAATCATTTTTACAATTTTTCAAATACTGGATATATCGTTTTTTAATTCATATATACTATTATATGGTGCCTCATAAATTATATTTCTGCTTTATATGCGATGTACACCTTTTGATTTTTATTTTTAACCGTATAAGGTATAACAAAATTTTAACAATCCGTTTCGGCCAGTCGGTGCCACAAAATCATAAAAATATTACCGAGTTTGAATGTATAAAATAAATTTTTTAGCTGGTAAAATTATATTGTTAATAGTTTTGAGGCAGGGTTAGCGTTCACGAGATTTCCAAAATTATTTTATTTAAAAATTAATTAAGTTATTAGTAAGGATAAATAAACTGATAATAAAGAAATAATAAGGTTTAAATAAATTCAATTTTAAGAAGTTCAACAAAACATAAGTTCAAAAGGTAAATTGAAAAACAAAATTTTAACGAACATTAAACCTCATCTTATTTGCCAATTAAAACTATATAAGAACCATATATTTTTTTAATTGTAAAAAATATTTTTGAAAAATTTTAATTTAAGAATTTGATATGTTATTTAATTACCATTCAATCACTATTATAGTATCTATTCTTGGATTTTCAAACGGTATTAGAACTAATATGTTTTATATTATAAGAAAAGATAGGGCCAAAACCAATATTTTATTGGTCTAAAATATCCAATATTATTAAACAAAAATTAAAATTCCTAGGTATATTCTTTTGTTTTTGAGTTTTTTTTGATATTTTACAGCCCTATAATCATTATCAATTAATCAAGTAATGACAACCAAGATAAATTTAATATTTAATTATTTATCCACCCTAATAACAAGCTTCAAATGATATAATATTTTTGATCTAATGAAAATAGATTAAATATTAGAGTATATCTCTGATAATAATTTCCTATCTCTCTAATTTTCTAAAATGTTTCAAAAAATATTATTGAAAAAATTGCAGGATATTTTTATGCTATAATAATTACTATAATACATCAACAAGTTTGTTAAAAGCCATTATGTGAATTATAATTTTATACATAAAAAATATTTTTGTAACAATGTATGATTTGAATCTTTTATACGAAAATAATTTTCATCATAGCTCAACGGAAACGTAAGATATCTTTTTACACATTTTCTAATACCGATTTATTGTTCATATTTTGGAGATTTTTTTTTTATGAGATTTAAAATGATAAAAACCAATATTGATAATAATATAAGTGAATTTTATAATAAAAGAGTAGGTTATAATATAAAGTTAAACTATATTTATTAACTTTTCTAATATTCCACAATATATTACTTTATTATTTTTTACGCTAAAAATTCTATAAAACTTATTTAACTATCGCTAGGTTTTAATAAATATTCGATAAGTGTTCTTAACTTGTTATTTAAACTATTTTTTCAAATTCTTCCCAAAATATTTACTTTAATTAAATACTTTTATCAAAATTTACTCGACCTCATTGATATCCGCTCACTATTGATTTATTGATTATAATATTTTTTAAATTCATATTCAATTTTTAGAAAAGAATTAAATTTTAATTAATAAAAATATGATATTAATTTTAAATTTTTTTATTTGGAATTCAAATTTCGTAAATAATAAATATAAAAGTTTTTAATAATGTCACCTTTTGCATAATTATCCGCACACTACTCTATGATACAAATTTATTGGTGTTAATTTTATCTATCCTTTTGTTTTTAAATAAATTATTATCTCAATATTATTGTCTTCTTATTTTTTTAAAAAAATATATATTACGAGTAGCCAACCCGTCAAAAAAGATGGAGGTCAACCAGATATAACTCTTTCGTTTGATGACACATCAGAAATTGACTTTTTAAAATTTTTTTACTTCTTTATTTGTAAAATTGTTAGATGATGGTTTTGTCCTTTTTTTAGATTGTATAGCTTGTTAACAATTTATAATTGCTCTACACGATTTTTTGTTCATAATGAACTCAAAAGCTTTCCATATAATCATGGGAAATTTAATCAATTACTCATCAAAAACTAAAATTTTGGTTCGTTCATACCTTATATGATAGCCAATTTCTATCCAACATCAATAATTTGTAAAAATATTTTTTTTCATATAATAATATGTAAAAATAAATTTTATTAAAAAAAAACAAATTAAAATAAAACAGATTGATCATATTTTTAGCCATCTCATATTTCTCTTAATCTAGATTTGAATTTGTATAAGAAATTTTATTTAAACTATATGATTCTATGATCTTTATGGGAGTTCATTCTCTTTTTCAGTTTATTTAATGGATATTTAACAATATAAATTATAGTATTAAATTTATATATATCTAACTTGTTCAACGATATGAATTATATTATTTAAAAGAATTTTTTTTGAGGGGGGGGGTACAGATCCCCTTGGGCACTCTGGGTAACTATCACAGTATTATAGATTCATATATAACTATTTAAAAATATAAAGATAAATTTTTACGAGTATCCATAATTATTTTTTAAATTAAAAAGTATATAAGGTAAAATAAAAATATTAAAGTATGCGGATATTGATGAATTGTAATTATAAAGTTACAATTTTATTCTATAGAATCAAAAGCAATTATTTTATTATACATAATTAAAGCAATTTATGATTAAAAATTTTGTTTATTATATTTGTAGAGCGTATCTGTGAACGTAATTTTAATAAAAACAGACTTTAGTTACATTGTTATTTTATATAATATAAAAATATTTTAATATTAAGGTGTATAAAAAATATTCTAATTACACGAATGAAGTATCGGCATAACAAGGGAATGCTTATACCCTGGAAATATTTTAAGATTTTTTTTATTTTCCTAATATGCTTAAAATAAATGCCTTATTTTTAAACTTTCGTTAAATTTTTTGTTTTTCTTTTCGAATTAACCTTTTGATTTAATTTATAAAAATACTAATTAATTTTAAATCAGATTAGAAAGTAGTTTAGGTAAACTTGAGCCCCACTTCCCTCATCTTGCCATGTCTTGCGGGAGAAAATGGGCTAATCTATATTTTAAATCTGAGATTTATGATTGTTATAATTTTTTTATAATTTTGCTTCATTATTATAATGAAATATATTAGTGCCGTTTAAATTAATATTCTATTTTTTAACAAAATTATTTATATATAAAAAGCTAATCAGAGTAAATATGGTTACTTGTATCCGAATTGCCACACTGTTTGGGGTATAAAATAAATTTATATGAAAAAATAAAGTTGAAATGGTTCATCTATAATTATGATTAATAAATTTTAATTATATATTCTGTTTATTATTTAGTCGATAATGGTGGAAAATCCCACAAGGGTATGATATTTTTTCATACGCAAAAACAAATATTTACATTAATGAAGTAGGGGGAGAAGTGTCTTAAACGGCCATAACGTAGACTGGTCAGGTCCATTTACCGGTTTATCTATAAATTGGAAAATGTTTATATTTGGCATTCATTTTACCTTCAATTGAGTACTATTAAAATAATAATTTTTGTTCAATGAAAAGAAATTACTAATTCATTGGATAATAGTGTTGTCAAACCGCTAATTTTTTTGGCTAAAACTTTTTTTTATGCCAGTCATGCTACTTATTCCCTGCCCATAATTTAAATATTTTATTAAAAAAATACTAAAATTAAAAATAATTTTTTTAAACGTATTTTATTAGGAAGTTTTATTATTATATTACATTAATTTGAAAAATATTTAGATTCGTTTATTAAATTTTAATCGATACCAGATTTATCAGAAGCTGTTTTACCTGAATTTAATTAACAAATTTTAGAAAAAATCTTTTAATCCAACCCAATCACTTGATGTCATAATATTATGGGCTGCTTCTGACTAAGCCATGCTGACCTTTAGATGTTATTAAGCTTTCTAGTTTAACCTTTCATGTAAGGAAATTTGCAACAAAGGAGAATTATTTTGAATAAACCTTAAATAATTAAAACACTATTTTTAAATGACAAGATTATTCAAGATTATAATGTTTTATGTTAAAATTTTATGATAATATTAGAAAAATTAATATTTTATTTAATAATTCTAAATATTACCTTTTAAAATTTAGTAATGGAAAACATATAAAAATTCAAATATAATATGCAATATGACGTATTTATGGAAGATTTTTGTCGGTTATTTTTTGTACTATCTTACAAAAAGGTAAATTTATATTTTTCCCAAGAGTGAATGTGATGGTTAAAATAAATAAATTTTTTTTTATTATTCTTGAAATAAAGAATAATTATTATTAATGGCCATAATAAAGATAGATGGAACATCTTTTGGCGTTTATTGAATTTTTTATTAAAAAATACTTATTTTATTTTACAGCCAAAAATATAATTTAATTTTATTAAAGTTACTATAAAATAACAGTAACTCCACAAAATTAAGTTAATCTAAAAAAATAATGATAAAATGGAGAAAAAAAAATAAGGAAGGAAGAGCAATTCTAATTTAAGAAAAATTATTGGAAAGTAGTCTGCCGTTATAGCTTTTATAATTAGCTTAAAGGATAGCTAGCCAGCATCTGTTTTGCCCACGAGAATGTGAATTCCTAAATCTTTAAAAAAAGATAAGGCACGTTTACTTAAGATATTTAAGGTAATTGATATAATTAAAATAAAAAAGGCCAAAGAAAAGAATAAAATCACAAGGTAAAATATTTATTAAAAACTTAGGCATAAAAAAAACTATATTTTAACTTCACCATCTATTATTTTGTAAGATAGTGAGTAAAATTTAAATATACAATTAAAATATTATTTTTTAAATTGTATTGCATTATTCTAATTATAAATGATTTATACTAATGATTATTATAAAACTAAATCTAAAAAATTGATATTTCTGTCATTTTTACTAAATTTCATAAGTCATTATTTTTTGGACTGTGAACCCGGAGTTGGGGAATTTTTCACTGAATTTAATTTAGATCGATTCATAGCCTTGGTTTTATCAATGATTATTGTGTACTGTAGGATAACTTTCAAATAAATAATATATATAATACGGTAAATGAAATGATATTCTTAATATGATATTCCTGTAAAAAAAATGAATAAGAGCAGAAAACCTATGTGTGCAATCAAAACATAGCTCGATGCGCTAATGAAATGTTAAAAGTTACAAAAAAAATATTTAAACATTAAAAAGTAGAAATTCAATCAAAGAAAACTGAAATTTAAAATTCATTTTTATTTTGTTCCCACAAAACATGCAAAATATTTTTTATTTTAATCAAATATGAATTATATGATATAAACTTGCTTTTTTTTAAAAAATAGTGGAAGAAATTCGGGCACCATCTTTATCAGGTTACTATAATAGATTTTATCCTCCCCCTCCAAAAAATTTGTTTTTAATTATAGATTTTTATATACAGTAATAAGGGTAGCGCCCAAAGTCAAAAAAAAAATTTTTTAAAAAATAAAATTTTGACTTTTAGACAGACATATCCTAACCTATTTTTATTTTATATCTTTAATTCATTATTCAATAGACCAAGTCAAGATGTAGAATTAATTGTTAGCATCAAGGTGTTTTTTTTCCGGCAATTTGTTATTTTTCCTACTTTAAATCATTTTTTTAGGAGCATTTTTTTTAAAAAATTTAAAAATCGGATTAAAAATGTATTTCATCATGTTTGGAGAATATCTGTCTTATAATTTGCAGATCATTTTGTTGTTAACCTTCGAGTGATTTATAATTTAAATAAAAAAAATTATGGGAAAAACTATTACAAATTTTGTTAAGTTCAAATTTTCATGGCAAAATTGAATGCCTTTTATAGGGTAGGTATTCCTAGCATGATAAAATACATTTTCGGTTTTAATCTTAAATTAAAATAAACGCGCTCAAAAATTTATTTAAATTTGAAAATATAACACATTGCCGAAAAAATGCATTCACTCAACACTAATTTTAAAAAACAAATTATTGTATTAGAATGTACATATGCTATTTTATTTAATTAATCACATGTTTTTTTTTTGTTATTAAGAAAGTCTTTACATAAGTAAATTCCGAACTCTTGTGAGTTCCAAAGGGTTTAGTCATAATAAGCTGGGTCAAAAAAAAGGAAGCAATATATTACATTTAAAAAATTTGGATTTATTACTTATTTAAAACAGAACGAGATCCATTATTTAAAATTAGGATTATATATGTCTGACTCTCATCGCAATTTACACACGGGACTCATGAGTTCATTAAATCCGAGTTATTTTTTTTACCACATCGACTTGGTTCTAAGTCGCCAAAAACAAAAAGTTATCCTCCCTAATATAAAATGAAATTAATTATCGAAATAAAAAATGGTTTATATCCATGTTTTTATTTTTCAAGAGATAGATAGGCTTAATTTTACACATATTCATCAAAATCAATATGTAGAAATATATTATTATAATATTTCATTTATATTTTATTTTTTTGATAGAAAATACTAGAACAGCCTATAGGGGTAATGCATTTTCTTATTAGATAAAAGTACTTATCACAACTATTAAGTGTTAAAAAAAAGTATGGCTAAACTGTTTGAATTGAGTCAATTTTTAAAAAAAGCCCAACTCAATATTTTATCGAAAAAATTATTACTAAAGCCTAAAGATTTTGGTCATAAGTGGCGCTAAGGTAAATTATTACCTATTTTTAAATCGGCTCAAAACAACACGACTTAGAAAAAATAAATAATAATTATTTTTTGCACTTGACACCTTAACCTTACAATAGAACTTAACTCATATCCTCTTTTACTAAAATCAAACACATCTATAGTTTATTTACAGCCATAAGTTTTCAGTTTATTTTTATTAATAGGAAACTCCAATCGACCATAAAACCATAAAAAATTATATACTAATTCAACGAGCAACATTGACCCAATGGAATCACCTTAATCTCATAGAGAAGAAGCCAATTTCTTGTCTGAGTCTGTACCTGCATTGATATCCATTACATTATTATCCTCTGGCAAATTGCTTTATTCATCTTCAAAATATTGGGATCTTACATTCGTAAATTTGTTGAGGAGCCTTGAGTAGGCCTATTCCTACAACGGCGCAGAACTATAGTTATCTTCAAAGTAAACTACATAGTCAATTTCCCAGGGAGCCTTCATTGATTTATTTTGATTCCTTATTCATTTACTGTCTATATCGCCGGGGTCCTAATGGGTTATGATGTAGGATTGGAAACAGATGGTCCCAGGTTCGATCCTGATAAGGAATGAAAGATTTTTGGGTTTTTCTTCGATGACTGATGTTTAAAGACATATTGTAAGATGAATTTCGGAGCTTACAGATGACACCCCGGTCACCGACAGGCTTGGAGCCAGGTGCTAAGGATATTTGTCCAATAAACAAAAATGAAGGACACAAATGAAAATATTAATATGAAAGCTAGGGCGCACTCATCCCCCCCTAGGCGACGCGCAGGGTGTAGATCTCCATCCTGCGATAAAATAAAGGTAAAAGTAAAGAAGACAAGGTTAGCAAATTTGAATATTGGTACAATTAAAGTTAAGACAAGAGAATTGGCATCAATGTTGAACAAAAGAAAAGTTGATATAGCATGCATACAAGAGACGAAATGGAAAGGTCAGAAGACTTTAATAATTGAAGATGGGTATAAATTGTATTATAAAGGAATTGTTAGCAATAGGAACGGTGTCGGCATCATCCTCAGTCAAGAACTAACCTCCTCAGTACAGGATCTCCGATAGACTAATGAAGATAAAACTCTGCATTGGCCAATTATTACTACACATCCTTTCTAATGAAGATAAAACTCTGCATTGGTCAATTATTACTACACTTCCTTTCAGTATATGGGAAATCCCTAAGGATGACCTAGTCATAATAGGTGGTGATATAAATGAGTTTGTGGGAAAAGCAAGAGATAGATAGAAAAGGCATAATGGTGGTTTTGGATATGGAGAAAGAAATGATGAAGGATGGCATGCACTGAAATTTGCGCAAGCTTTCGACCTTGCCTTATCTAACACCTACTATAAAAAAAATCATTTAATAACATATGAAAGTGGTACAAGGAAAACCCAGATAGATTACATGCTTATCTCTCGCAGAAGATTAAAATATGTAATAGACTGTCTCAGGAGAAGAAATTGCCGCTCAACCCAATCTACTAGTCATGGATTTACACATCACAAATAAATCCACTCAAAACAAGATAAAACTTGAACAAAGATTAAAATCAATGACAGATGCCTTTACAATCAATGCAAACATTGAAACAATAGATTCCTCTCAAGTCAGTGAAAAAATGTGGACAGACCTTTCATCCAGATAAATACACACTGCCAAATCGACATTAGGCTTACAAGGAGGAAACATACAAAGAACTATGGTGGTGGAATAAAGATGCACAAACTACTATAAAGGAGAAAAAAGCTCTATATAAAATATGGTACAAATCAAAAAACCCAAATGACAAGGCAAATTACAAAAAATCCAAGAGAGAAGCTACAAAGGCGGTGGCTAGGGCCAAGGTTATGGAATACGATGACATGTATGAAGAACTACATAAAAAAGAAGGGCAAAATAAAATATACAGATAAGCCAAACAGCGAGAAAAGAATTCTAGGGATATAAATGGAGCTCCTAAAGTAATCAAAAATTAAGATGGGAAATTGATAATTAAAGAAAAAGATAATGAATAGATGGAAAGAATATTTTCATGAGCTTCTCAACTTTAATCTCCATATTACATCTTGGCGAACACTCCCCATGTCAAAACCTTATACAACCAATAACAGAACAAGAAATAATCACATATTCCAATAATATGAAAAACAACAAAGCTAGGGGTCGTTGATATTCCAATAGAAAGCCTTAAAGCATTAGGAGATATTGGAATACATCTCCTCACAAATCTGTACAATAAAATACTGAGAAATGAAGAGATCCCTCATAAATGGAGGCAGAACTATCTAGTTCCTATCTTCAAAAATAAAGAGGACCACAATATTGTCAAAATTACAGGGTCAAAATCACACTGTCAAACTTTACGAAAAAATAATAGAAAAAAGGTAAGAGACATACTCAGGAGAGACTTAGTTTGGGTTTATGCCTGGAAGATCAACAACTAATGCTATCCACGCAATTAGGCAAATGAGTGCAAAATACAGGGAAAAGAACAAAAAGCTACACATGGTCTTTCTTGACTTAGAAAAGGCCTTCGATAGAATCCTAAGAAAACTTATCTGGTGGGCGCTTCCCCACAAAAAGATTCACGAAAAATATATAAGAATAATACAGGATATGTACATGGGTCATACAACAATGGTCCGTAGCACAACTGGTCACAGGCCTCACAATAGCCAAGGGAGTTCATCAAGGGTCCACTTCTCTTCATAACAGACCACAAACAGTCCCTTGGAATATGATATTTGCATATGATATTGTGATACTTGCCGAATCCAGGTTGAAATAAAAGAAAGATTAGTGAGCTGGATAAATATCCTAGAAAAGCACGGACTAAAAGTAAATAGAGAAAAGACGGAGTATATGGTGATAGGAGGAGATTAAACAGAGAGTATTGATATAAATGAATGGCACATATTGGCAATTAAAAGCTGCAAATATTTGGGCTCCAATATACAAACAAACGGAGAGATAAAGAGTAAAAGATCTTTATATGGAGTGCTCTTTGACAAAAGAATCCCAAACAAATTGAAGGGAAAAATTTAGAGTTCCATAGTACAACCAACTGAGAGTTTGGAAGTAATGGGTAAACGTAATAGAAGAAGGCCAAAATTTCAATGGGGTCATAAAGTGAGAGCCAATATGAAGAAGTATAAATTATATAAACTAGATTGTATGAATAACATAAAGTGGAGAGAGTTATTGAAAGAGCTTACCACCAGAAAAGGTCAAAGGTCAAAGCTAAAGAGGAAATTTTTTTTTTATTACCTGTCTATGTTACATTGTTGGATTTTTTAAAAATTAGACATATTCAATATATTTGTATATAAAAAATTAGTAATAAAATATGATCTTAAATAGACCTACAGACTATATGAGGCCTGAACGTATTCAATGAGACAAATAGATATTGAACTATCTCAATTAGTTAAAATTTGGAAAATACAACGTTAGATTACTCGAAATAAAATAAATAAAGTAATGTATATATATTTTTTTGTAATATCAATATTTTAACTATTTTCATGGCCAATATTTTTTCCTGGGTATATTGTCCAAATGTGTTACCCATGTCCATTATCATTTTTGCCTGAATAAAAGTTATCATAACCTGCAAATTATCATTCCTAGTTTATAGAAAATAATCATTAAACAATAGAAATAATATAAAACTGCAAAACAAACAAGATAGCTAATTTTTCCTTTTATCTTATGAAATTTTTTTCAGGTTTTGAAGAATTATATTATTTTTTGGAATTTAAATAATCTATTTTTTTAAAAAAATTTTAAAAAGCTTTTCTTTTTAATTATTTTTTTAAAGTATTTTTTTTTTTTAAACTTATTCTTTTGTAAATTAATATATTGTGTTCCATTTTTGAGTATTTAAAGATTTATTTGGCTGATTTATTTTCATTTTATCTGATCTTTTATTTCCAATTTGAAAACGAATTTACCTAGTTTCGAAACTAGGTGTTAGCGATAACATATCAAATTAGAGAAATGATTTATTCAGTAATTAAAACGATCTTTTTTTTATGATTTAAGAAAAACAGATCTATTTATAAAACTATTCTTGTAAAAACCCATAAACTTCTAAAAGTTTTTGATATCTTAATGATTAAATATATATTGAGGAGTCATAAAAATGGTGAAAATTAAATATAGAATTATTTATATATATATTATATAATTTTTAACAGATATTATTAAAAATTATTTTTTAAATAAGAAAATAATTGTTAAAATAATTTTATTAGAACTACGAAATGCTCGATCACAAACATTTTGGGGTAAAAATCTTATTTTATTTTGTTCTCACTACATGTTCTTAAGTTTCATGTGAGATATTAATAATCCTTTTTCTTAAAAAATATTGTCTTTATTTTGATCTCCATATTGAATCCTAATGAAACTTTTCAAATTATTTATGTAAATTTTGATTTGATAAATTTTATAACTTCATTTGTATGTTTTAATTTTAGAAACTCTTGGTGAGTTGACAATAATGATTCCCATAAGTTAATTAGATATGGAAAGTTATTTTTTATCAATTAATTACCTGATATTATCTTGTTTTGAATTGTATTCGATATATATTTTTTTGAAGTGATCATTCCTTAGATTTGAACGAATCATAGCCATCCATATCTATAAAAAAAATTTAAATATGAGTTTACTCAAAAAATTATTTAATGTATATATATATTAAAGTTAAAATTTTCTTTAAAATATATTTAGTTGTGATTAATTTTATTTAAAAACGGTTTCAATTTAGAAATAAAATACAACATAAAAGATGAAATATATAATTTTTTGAAAAAAGGGGGTATTAAAAATTATGTGAAAATAAATATAATATAATATACACATATTAATTATATAAAAAGCATTAAAAAGAACTTTATTGTATAATTCTTCATAGAAATTTATTTTTGGAATATTCGGGCATTAAATTATTTTGATAATTTTAGAATATATAAAATTATATTAACAATCCTATATGTTTTTGTTCTACAAAATTATCGTTTTCGAATAATACGTCTTAACTCTTATTAATGTCCTACGATGAGATAGCAATGACTAAATCATATCCCAATTATGAATTTTTAAAGAAGAAGCAAAAGAACTTGATTTAAATGCGATAATTATTAGTTTTATAAATAAAAACGGAATAAGAATATACACATTTTACCTAAAAAAATGTTAATATTTATTATATTATACTATTTAAGAATAAAAATATTATATTATTTATTAGTCATATATTGTAAAAAACTTTAGGGATATAAAAAATAAGATTTTCCATTCAAAATTGAAATTGCAAGCTTTTTTATTATTTTTTTTTACAAAATTTGATTCATTTTTTTCAGGTTTTGAATATATCTTAAAAATAAATTCCTGCCCCCATTAGACATTATAAGTCGCCACCTCTGATGAAATATAGTTTCTTAACCTATGCGGTTGTCTTTATTTAATTTACCTTTTCATTTATCAAATTAAATTTCCATTAATCGTTAACTTTCTTCTATTTTATTCCATGCTCATGAATACATGATTAAAATGTTCATCTCTGAGGCCTGTCAAATCAGACTATATATAATTATTTTATAAGCATTAATTTTATTTAAATTGACTATATTTTTATTTTTCTTAAAATTCTATACAGATCATTCTCTTAGTGAGTCTATGTCAAATTTATTACATAATATACAATATTTTCATATTTTAAATTAAGAAAAAAAACCAATATGTTTAAATAATAAAAGGGTTATTATAGTAATTATAATTCCAAAAAATTAATTATTATATGGGAATAATATCACAAATCATTTGAAGAATTTAAAAATTTAGTAATATTATATAATGTTATTTATACTGACATTTTTTCTAATCGAATTCAACATTCAAATGTAACAAAATGAAACGTATAAGTAAAGATAAAAGGTGGAATCAAATTTAGTCTAAAGAATAATTAAATTTTAAAACTAAAATGGAATGTTGATTATTATTAACACTGAATTATATTTCAAAAGAAGCCGGAAGGGGGGGTGGTGTTAAGTAGTGATCTGCATCGGGCCTAATTATTCAAGCCCGGCCCGAAATTTTTTTAAATTTGCCGGCCCGGCTCGAATTTATTTAAATAGAGAAATTAATTTTTATAATTACTCAAAATAAAAGACATATGCCATATGTTGATTAGTATCAATAAATAAAATCAAATATTTTTATTTTACATAAAAAATTCAATACAAAATTGATAAATTTAGATATATTTAAAAAAAATTTCCAAGGTCCGACCCGACCCGGCCCGAATTTTTTAAAAAATATTAAGCCCGGTTCAGCCCGAATTTGATTATTTTAAGCCGGACCGGGCCTAACTTTGCAGATCACTAGTGTTAAGATTTAAATTTAATACAACAAATTTATTATGTTTATTTAAAGTTATTTTTTGGTCAAGCATATATCAATAACAAAATCTTGCTAGCGATAATATTTCTTGATTCATATTAGAAGTGGACACGGGTCTATTTTTTTACTAGGTCTCTAAAGTCAAAAACGAGCCTGTTTTTTTTAAATTTTATAATTCTGCTTGATTTATTTACATAACTTACATGAAATAAAAGGGTGTTATGAAACTTTGCAACAATTAATAATTCACTAATCCATTTATATATCAGAATATTTAATTAAAAAGATAAAAAATGTCAATTAATTGCTTTTGTCTTTCCTTGAGTGAACGATTAATAGGTTTGGAAAAGAATGGTTTATTAGATACCGAAATAGATGAAATGTTTTTGGCTAATTTTTTGAAAATAAGACGAAACAATTCATAATTACAAAATTAGAAAAGTTTAATAAAAATGATAAAATAGTCTTTTCAAAAATAATAATATAAATTTTAAAAAATTTCTTTTGTTAAAATTTATTAAAATTTTTACTAAAAAAAACCACGTTTTTGGATATAGTCTTCTAAATAATTTTTTGGAAAAAATCTTGTTTTAAATGTGTAAAGAAAGATCAGGCATTTAAAAATATTATTTTCTAAAAATGTTTATTTACGCCAAATATCTCCGTTTTTGGAAAAGCCCAACACTTTCACCGCTCGATATTCAAAATGTATACAAAGTCACGATGTAACTCATAAGAATTTTTATGATCCGCATCCTTTTATAATTTTATATTGTAATATAGTTTATCATCATCCACACTCATCTATTTATAAATTGGGATCTTAATTATACTCAAGTTACCACATTTTTCATTTTATATTTTTCCAGTAATCTAAATTTGGCGGCGTTTATTTATTATTTTTTTTAATTATTTAGATTTTCACAAAATTTTGATTGAAAATTTAATTGATGATATCTATTTATATAATCCATGGATGTTAAATAATTTTTATTCATTTTTTCTTTAAAAGTCTCTGTAAAAATATATGTTTTAGACTAAGTATTTCTATATAAAAGAAAAGATCTTTTCTAAACAAATATATGTATCGCTTTGATAGTAAAGAATGGTATTCGCTCTCAAAATTAAAAAAATTCAGAAGAATATAAATCATATTTACTGAATATTTAATTTTCCTTGAAGCATATTCCTGGGCAAAGAACTTATTCAATTTTCTAGTATATGATGAACCCATAGCCATATTTATATTTTTTAGGTGGCTAGATTATCTTCAATTAAGTTTGGAAGTTACAGATTACTTATATTCTTTTTAAAAATATTATCAATTAAGCTATAACAATACCTTGGATTATCTATAAAAAAATTATAATACATTAGAAAATAAATTTATGCAAAAGTTAATTTAAGATTTAACCAAATCTTGCGATAAGGTTAATGCAACTAAAAGTGTAATAAATAAACTTAAAATAATAATAATCATTCAACAATAGATTGTTTCAAAATTCAATTTTAATAGTTTCAAATTTAAGAAAAACTTATATTTAAAAAATGGGAAATAAAATGTAATATCACAGGTTCCAAATTTTGAAAACTTAATAGATTTATATTTTCTAATTTTATTGAAAAGATCGTTTTTTATTCTTAATTTAAAATAATTCTTATAAAATATTTTTTAAAATTAAATTTACAAATTAGGTATAAAAATTTTCAAAGTTTACCCTCTATTGGCAACAGGTCTCTTTAAGATAGGAATAAATTTGGTGCTTCTAGTGTTAAGCATGCATATTTAAATATAAATTTAACTAGAAGCAATTAATGTTATTCCTTATAACCATTTAAAACCTGGTCAGATAATCTCTACTCTTCTGTATATAATTTTGGAGGAATTATTATTTTAACAAAATTTCCTTTTACCTAACCAATCTCAGGCATAACTAATCTCCATAAATAATAAATATTTATTTGTCTTATTTTCATAATTCATATGTTAAAAATATTTTAAATAGAAATTATTATATATAAATATTGATTTATATTTATAATTTTATTACATATCTTATTTCTATTGTATTTCAGATTGTAAGTATTAATTTATAATTATCAAAATAATTTGTTATCCTCATATTTTACACTCAAAATCAAATTTATTTAAATATATAGAAGATATATAGAACTCAAAGTTAATAAATAAAATATATTTTGTATAGACGACAGTCCCTGGCCTTCACAATATCTTGGTAATTAATATTTAAAATTTGTCTAATAAATAAGAACCAAATTTATGCAAGCTTAATGGATTTATATTTTCTAATTAAATTGAAAATCGTTTTTCAGTTTTAATTCAATAAACTTCTTATTAAACGTTTCTTTTTAATTAAATTTACAAATTTTTCATATATTTATTTTTAACTGAAAACTTTAATCATTTAAGATATTAATAAATTTAGTGCTTCCAGTGCTAAACATGCTTAATTCAATATAAATTTAACCCAGAAATATTTAATTAATCTTATTCTTTTAAAACCACTCAAAACCTGGTCAGATAATTTCTATTGTTTATACTGAATGTATTGAACCTTTATTTAAGTAGATAATTATAAGAGGAATATTATTTAAAAAAAATTTAAAACTTTTTACCTCACTAATCTTAGGCAAAAGTAATCTTTATAAATAGAATATTTATTTGTTTTGATTTCATAATTCATAAATGTTAAAAAAATATTAAAATTATTATTGTATAAATATTGGTTTGATTGATATTTATATAATTTTATTACATTAGTGCATTGTGAGCACAGACGTATATTAATATAGACTGCCCTATGATTAAAAATAAAACGTATTTAATATAATCTCTATTTGCAAAAGAAACAACCTTCATTTTAATAAGTCTATGTTTATAATGACTTTAAGGTTAAATATTTTTAATGTATT